AAGAATTTCTACTCAGAATGGAAACACAAACAAAAATATATATATACGTGTATGTTTATACATGTATATATGTGTGTAAACATGTGTATACATATATATATATGAAACCATAGTTATCTCTGGAGGTGGGATTAAAGAGTTTCATTTACAAAGCTCAAATAATAAGCACTTCTATTATCTCTTAAAATTAGCAAAAAAATAAATTTGTTTTGAAAAACAGTATAGGCAACAGCAGCTTAATTCCATTTGGACTAAACAAACAAAAAATAGCAAAGGTGAGAAAGAGAAAGAAAAATGAAACAACTGTGAGCCCAGAGTAAAGAGTTGTAGTGCACTCATGCCCAGGGAGAGGGTACACGTGCTCACCTGATGCCAAAGACGCAGTGGATGTAGTTCCAGATGGCCCTGCGGAGCACGGAGGTGTCCACACCGCTGTGCATGGCGATGGTGTTGTAGGTGAGGCTATAGGCTGCCTGGAACTTCTCGTCTAGCAGCTGCCCGCCCTCAGGGTAGAGCCGCTGGATCAGTGAGTAGCCATGGTCTTCCCAGGTATAATCCTTAGGAACGTGGGAAGGGGTTGGTAAGCAAATCTTTGGAGTCCAAGGCCGGTCAGAGAGACCCTGTCCTCTGGAGTCAACCTTGGCTGTCCATAACGCTCCCTCCCCACACCACACATCTAACACGCTGCTTGCTCTGGGCCTCAGAGGCCAGGGAGGATGCACCTTGGTGATGACCTTCTCCCTAAGATCAGCACCCTCTGAGCTTAGGGTGCAGATGGGCCCCCTCAGGATTCACAGGAGCCCCACTGCCCTCGGGAATCTTGACGGAGAGAAGGTACCCAACTGTATAACCACTCAAACCACCCACCCGTTGTTTACAAATCTGGAGCAATGGCCAACACTAGTGCCCTACCTGGGCACGGAAGGTTGGGGGCGCCTGAGTCCCTCGCCGGGTGAAGTCCTCATATCCAAAAGTGGGGTCTTCCACAAAGCACAGCATGTCTGGGTGTGGAGTGGGCTCCAGGATGTCAGCTGAGGACCAGAAAGAAGTCACAGTGAGGCTGAGGCACAGAGCACACAGGATCCACTCCTCATTAATCATCAAAAGGGGGCAGGGCAAGGCAGGGTAGAGGGCCAAGAAAGCCCCTTGCCAAGGTGAGCAGGACTTCAGCAAAAGCCAGGCCTGGGGGAGGAGGTGGATCAGGCCCATGGGCCCAGGAAGCAAGGCCCCTAGCAACAGTGACAACAGTTATTTATGGAGCTGCTTGCCCTGGGACAGGCTCTGTGCTAAGAGCTTGGCTTCTCTTGTCCCATTTATCCTGCACACCAATCCTGCACACCAATCCTAAAGCCCTGAGACAGGAAGTGACTTGTCAGTGGTCACAGAGCCAGAAAGGCTAACAGGCCAGGATTCAAAGCCAGGTCTGAGCCCAAAGCCCATGTTTGGAACTTCTTGGAAGGGAGGCTGAGAGGCGGCTGCCTCTGGAACACAGGAGGTACAGTGCATGGAGTGGGGGCCACTCCCCACCAGAGATGGTGTAAGCAGCGGGCAGTCCCTGGAGCCTGGTTGCCTGTGGTCCTGTACCTGAGGGGGTCACCAGCAGGCTCTCCGACTTCTCCAGCTCAAAGCGGCTCTCCATCTCCTCCTGGGATGCTCCCTCGTCCCGCAGCAGGCTCTCCTGCAGCTGCCTCATGCGTTCCATCAGAGCCTCAACGTCGCGGGCAGCCTCAAAGCCCTGGAGGAGGGGCCCAGTGGTGACGTCTATTCCTCCTCCCTTGGCCTCCGGCAGACTCCCCTCATCCTTCCCACAGGGCAGGCCTTCCTGAATGATCACGAAGGCCTAGTGCAGCCTCTGTGCAGCCACTGTGTGGCCAGCTCACAGGGTCTGTCCCTCCCAAAGTGAAATTTACGCAGCTACGGGACAGACACGAGTCTTCCCTGAGCATCAACTCCTCTCACAGGTAAGGAACTTTTTAAAGTATCTGTATTTTTGTAGTTAAAAAAAAAAAAAAAAAAAAGGGCCGGGCGCGGTGGCTCACTCCTGTAATCCTAGCACTCTGGGAAGCCGAGGCGGGCGGATTGTTTGAGCTCAGTTCGAAACCAGCCTGAGCAAGAGCGAGACCCCGTCTCTACTAAAAATAGAAAGAAATTAATTGGACAACTAAAAATATATAGAAAAAACTAGCCGGGCATGGTGGCACATGCCTGTAGTCCCAGCTACTCGGGAGGCTGAGGCAGGAGGATCGCTTGAGCCCAGGATTTTGAGGTTGCTGTGAGCTAGGCTGACGCCACGGCACTCTAGCCCGGGCAACACAGTGAGACTCTGTCTCAAAAAAAAAAAAAAAAAAAAAAAAAGCCGCATCATGGAGTAAGAGGCAAACTTTATTTATTTATTTTTGAGACAGTCTTGCTCTGTTGCCCAGACTAGAGTGCAGTGGCATCATCATAGCTCACTGCAACCTCAAACTCCTGAGCCCAAGTGATCCTCCTGCTTCAGCCTCCCGAGTAGCTTGGACTACAGGTGCACTCCACCACATCTGGCTAATTTTTCTATTTTTAGGGAGAGACAGGATCTTGCTCTTGCTCAGCCTGGTCTCGAACTCCTGGCCTCAAGCGATCCTCACACCTCACCCTCCCAAACTGCTAGCTAGGATTACAAGCCAAACTTTGTATTTTTAAAGCACTAAAAACTGGCAGACTCTGAGCCTATGGGGCTACATACTGAGAGGTCAGTCACATGGTATTTCATTTAATCTTCATGACCCACTGTGAACAGGGGTCTTTATCCCCATTTCACAGGTGAGGAAACTGAGCCTCAAAGTCAAATAACTTTTTATGGCCTCAGCGTGAGGAGATTGGAAAGCAGTGGCTTCCACCCAAAGACCAGAGGCCATATCACCTTCCTCCCCAACCAAGTCCTAGGCCCGTGACTCACCCCAGAGTTGTTCAGTGGGTCGCCACTTGGGGGGGTGCTTTGCTCACTGGGGGGCGAAGGTGCCTGGGGGGCAGGGCTTCCCTCTGGGTCCCCCTCAGGGAGGATGCCACAGCCAAACACGAAGGAGGCCAGCGAGTGGCAGTGGGTGAGCAGGACCAGAGCCTGAATGAGTTCTGCCAGGGACCAGCTGTGCTCGCCCGTCTTCAGCAAGGCCTGGAGGGGAGGGAAGACCAGACCTGCTCAGTGCCTGCCCTTGGGCTGCCCCCCATGCCCCAGCCAGGCCCCTGTGCTCCCTCGGGAACCCGTTTCTTTGCCCACTGCACCTGGATGTGCTCCTTGGTGATAAGCCATGGCCGATGTGCCAGCAATTTGTTGATCTCGCTGAGTTTGCGCAGCTTCTCAGGGGCCCGGTGGAGGCCCAGTAGCCACTCGGGGTCACCACCAGTCTGCAGAAATTCAGCCATGTGGGAACCCACCAGGTAAGAACACTGGTGGCGGGCAGCAGCCTGTGGAGGTGGTAGACAGAACCTGGGTCACCCTCCTTCTTCTGTGCCCTGCTCAGGGTGGGTACCCCATGGAAGAAGATGTCGTAGGGCTCACTGTTGCCTAAGAGGTAGGAAACCTAGGTTCTAACCCCAGCCCTGCCACCAGCTTGCAGGTCACCTGACCCCTCTGCACCTCAGTTTCCCAGTCTGCAAAGTAGGCACTAAAGATGCCTCTATTCAAAACCTAAAATTCTATGAATGGTCAGAGAAAGCCAGGGCTTTCCTTTGCTCTATGCTGCCTTCCCTTCTGGCCTAAAGAATAAGCTCAGAAAACTCCCAAAAAAGAGATCCAAAGATAGAACCCTCCGTGTAGCCGCTCTGCAAGTGTCAGGCCCAGACAGGCTCACCATGATGGCAATGTAGTGGCGCCAGGAGCTGGCCAAGGGGCCATCCGTGTGCAGCAGCAGGTAGTGCAGGCGCCAGAAGCTGTTAAGGTAGTCAGGGTGCAGGCCCATCACCACCGCCAGGTTGTCCACCCGCCCTGAGGACATCAGCGCCTCCAGCCCCAGGTGCTGCTCGAGGCTCTCAGCCCCCTCCCGAAGGACCTGCAAAGCAAACGAGAGACCGTGGGTTTCCCTCCTGCCCTCCCTACACAAGAGACCGATGTATTCTTTGTGGTGGGTTTTTAATAGCAATAAAATGAAAACCACCACCATGCCCAAAAAGGGGGAAAGTGGAGGAAAAGATATTTTAATAAGTGATTCAATGAATACCTGTTAGGCACCATATATAGTAATAATAGCCAATACTTATATGTATAATGCTATATACCAAGAACTGTTCAAGCACTTTATATATATTAACTCATTTGATTCTCACAACTATAAAATTGGAATTCTATTTTCTCCATTTTTAGATAGGAAAACTCAGGCACAGAGATTAAAAGTACAAGTTCTCTTCCCTTCATGGAGCTTTAATTCCAACACTGCAAATGCAGACAGGCATGGGGGGTGGGGGCAAAGAAGTTCACACATGCTGAGTGCTTCCCCACAGCCATGGGCCTGTCTGCTCTTGGAGCTGTCCCTGCCTTCTCTCACTGCGTCTTTGCAATACTCCTATGAGGCGAATACTGTTATTTTCCCCCCTTGACAGAGGAAACCAGAGAGGTTTTAGTACTTGCTCAAGGTCACAGATCTGGTAAATGACAGCACCAGGATTCAAATCCAGATGAACTCCAAAGCCTATTTCTTTCCTTTATTATAAAAGAGTAGTTATTTATAAATGAAAAAATAAAATACAACAGCAATACTTCAGTTTAAAATTCTGGGCTACAGACAAGTAATCAGCAACTGGTTGTTCATCTTACACTTATAAAGGAGGGGAGGAACTGGGAATTTAGATACTTGTTAACAGCTCATTAACCACTTGGCCTACACATTCAGGAGAGCAAGGAGGACAGGAAACAAAAAATTCATACTTGTTGATTGAAAGCCAAAGAAAAATCAGGAAACTATTTTAAATCTTTTCTGTGTTTCCCCAGAAGCCCCACATGCTAGAATGTAAGTTCCATGATGGCAAAGATTTGTATCTGTCTCGCTCACTGCTGTAACCCCAGCACCCAGAATGGCACCTGACATAGATTAATCATTCAGTAGATACAGTAGATATCTGTTAAATAAACGTCTGAATGGAGTCAGTTGTGAGACAGCTTTCATCTGTCTCTGTTGCCCTAAGTGAAAAAACAAAAGAAACAAAAAAAACAAGGTGTAAACTATGACCTTGGTTCTCTACTGAAAGTAAAGTACCCTGTACTGAACAAAAACCCTGGAAAACAGTAGCAAATGGTTAACAGCGATGGTCTTTTCAGGGGGGATGGGGTGGGGATTATAGGAGATCAGAGCTTTCTGAAACACTGGAAAAAAAAATTTTTTTTAAACAGGGGAAAGCTCAAACCAGTCTCCCACTATCACAAATTATGCAGTTGAGTTTCCCACATTGGGGGAAATCGCAGGAGTCAGCACACCCGGGGTGCGATGGATGAGCCTCACCCTGCGAAAACTACCTTCATGATCATGGTATTTCCCCTGTCAGATAAGTATGGAAAAAAAATTTTAATAATAAACATATATTACTGTTGAAGCAAAAAAAAAAACTGTAATATATGCACAGTCAGGGGTGAAATAAGATAGATAGTTCTATCTTAAGGAAAAACAGGCACTGATCTGGGAATCAAAAGTTTGGCCATCACATGGCTGTATTATTAACACTTTATCTCTTTGAGTCTGTTTCTTCCCAGTAAAGTGGGGTTCATAGTGCCTGCTTCACAGAGCTGTTCTGTGAATTAAATGAATCAGGAACCGAAGGGGTAGTTTCAAAGTTGCAATTTAAGGAACAGTAAAAGACCCTCACCCACCAATGCCCCATGTCCTTTCTTCCCAGGCACCAAAGATTCCTTACCCCTTCCAAGCTTACCTCCTCCACCGGGATGAAGGCACTGGGCCCTCGATGGCCTCGCCGAGCTCGGCTCTCCCTCTGCTCCTGGGAGGAACACCAAGGTTAGTGGGTGGTGGTGGGAAGAATAAAAAGGACTGTTATCAGGCGAGGTGGCTCATGCCTGTAATCCTAGCACTCTGGGAGGCCAAGGCAGAAGGATTGCTTGAGGTCAGGAGTTCGAGACCAGCCTGAGCAAGAGCGAAACCCTATCTCTACTAAAAATAGAAAAAATTAGCCGGGTTGGGTGGCTTGTGCCTATAGTCCCAGCTACTCGGAAGGCTGAGGCAGGAGGATCACTTGAGCTCAGGAGTTTGAGGTTGCAGTGAGCTATGACGATGCCACTGCACTCTGCCCTGGGAGACAGAGCGAGATTGTCTCAAAAAAAAAAAAAAAAAAAAAAATATTAAAAAACCCACAATAATGTGACATTCTGTTATCAAAAAAAAAAAAAAAAAAAAAAAAACAACAAATCTGTTATCTCTTTAGCCGTGTCCTTCTACCCTGCAGGGGCTATAGCCAGCTTTTAAGACCACCCTTCTGGTGCACCCTGCACAGAGAAGCCAAGTGGGAGATGTACACCTGTTGGGAAGGTGCCAGGTTGCACAAGGGTAAACAAGGAAGAGGACTCACCCCAGGCTGAGTTCTTCAGAAACTGGGCAGGGGGCCAGGAGCCCCAGCACTGCTGGGGTTGGGGTGTTATATACAGCTACTATGTTGCACATCTCCAGGAGGCCACCTTTTTAGCAGCCCCAGGAAACTTATACAAGAACCCCATCCACCCAGCCCATGGTTTGTGTCCTGAAGCCAGATAACCAAGTACCCCAGAAGCCTAGGAAGCAGCTTCAATTTCTCTCGAATTATCATTTCTTAACCTCCTGCCACCATTTGGCTGGGTGCGGTGGCTCATGCCTATAATCCCAGCACTCTGGGAGGCCGAGGCAGGAGGATCGCTTGAGGTCAGGATTTGGAGACCAGCCTGAGCAAGAGTGAGACCTGGTCTCTACAAAAATTTGCCAGGCATGGTGGCACCTGCCTGTAGTCCCAGCTACTCAAGAGGCTGAGGCAGGAGGATTGAGTTCAGGAGTTTGAGGTTGCAGTGAGTTATGATGACGTCATGGCACTCTAGCCCAGATGACAGAGTGAGACCCTGTCTCAAAAACAAACAAAAAACATAATCTACCACCATCTCTTGTCTGAACCACCACCCACAGCCTCACCAATTGTCTGTCCCCACTGCCCTGTCCTCTCCTGTCCATCCTCTACCCAGCAGCCAGATGAACTCTCTGAAATGTAAACCTATCAACTGGCTTAAAACCCTGCCTCCCCCTCCCATGGCCTTCCGGATAAATTAGCCCCACTGCCCTCCCACTGGTTATTCCTATTGCAAAGCTAACTTTTTTTTTTTTTTTTGAGACAGAGTCTCACTCTGTTGCCCTGGCTAGAGTGAGTGCCATGGCGTCAGCCTAGCTCACAGCAACCTCACACTCCTGGGTTCAAGCAATCCTTCTGCCTCAGCCTCCCAAGTAGGTGGGACTACAGGTGTGCGCCACCATGCCCGGCTAATTTTTTCTATATATTTTTAGTTGTCCAATTAATTTCTTTCTATTTTTAGTAGAGACGGGGTCTCGCTCTTGCTCAGGCTGGTTTCGAACTCCTGAACTCAAACAATCCGCCCGCCTTGGCCTCCCAGAGTGCTAGGATTACAGGCGTGAGCCACTGCGCCCGGCCCAAAGCTAACTCTTATAGTCCTTCAGGGTCTAGGAACCTTTTTTTGACCCTCATCCGTGATCCCACAATTCCCAGTGCTTTTGCCTCTCAAAACACCATCCTTTAATTGTTGGGGTTTTTTTGCTTGTTTTTTAGAGACAGAGTCTCACTCTGTCCGGGCTAGCATAATTCTATCTCACTGTAGTCTTGAATTCCCAGGCTCAAGCAGTCCTCCTGCCCTGGTCTCCCAAAGTGTTGGGATTACAGGCATGAGCCACCGCACCCAGTCCTTATTGTTGGTTTTAAGTCTTTCTACTACCAGATCACATTTTGTGGAGAGCAGGGCTGGGTCATTCATGCTAGTGTATAAATGCAAATAGAGAATGCAGAAAGGCGTGGAGGGAATCAGAGCAGGGTATACAAGGCTGATGGTGGTGGCTATTCTGACATGTATATATTTGAGCCTCTTTAGAAACTACCAGAATCATGTACTCACTAAATATGTTTCCCCTAGTCCTAGAGATGAAGTTCAGGAAGGTTGTTTTATTTATTCATTAATTTTGTTAATTTTTTAGGGGAGGAGGCTGGCCTCTCAGCACTGGCCTTGGATACGGTTTACCCAAATCAGAGTCATGCCCTCACTGGAAAGGGACAGGGGTCCCCCAGTTCTTCCCTCCCCATTAAGATCCAGACTTAGCACCAGCCCCCAGGTATCCAGGGAATAAAAACTATAATTGGACCTTCCTTCTTAGGTAGCCAAAAGCTGCCTGAAGGAGGCAGACCTCTGGGGTCCTGGAAGACTACAAAGGAAAGATCTATGGGACCTGGAAGCCTCGGAGGTGGGTACCAGTTCTGTCACTAACTGGTTGTGTGGCTCTGGGAAAGTTACCTAGACTCTCTGGGCCTTAATCCTGGACAAAGAAGGTATTGAGCTGACTGCTCAGGCCCCTTTCAGCTCACACTTCTGGGAGCTACCAGCCAGGCTGGTCCAAGTTCCACGTAGTAACCACCAGTCTCCAAGCACTCCCTTTTCAGCTTCCCTCCTCCTCCCTCACCAAAGAGAAAAAGCCCAACAGCTCTGTCTGGGAGATAAGGATTGCTGACTCCACAAACTGGCCCTTCCCCTCAGGGGACCTGAGGACAGATAGAAAACTACCGTAGGGGTAGGGCAGCGCAGAGCAGGGAAGGGAGGGCAGGGAGGGCCCACTAGAGGTGCTGGAAAGGGACAGGGAACAGCCTTGGGAATGCCAGCTCCCTGCAAAATCTAACCCAGGAGCTGTCAAAGGAAGGAGCTGTCACCTGTAGGTCTTTCAGCCATTAGTCTGGATCCATCAACGTTTTCCAGCAATAACTGATGATGATAATAATAATGTCCAGTTAAGAGAGGGGCTCTTGACACAAACTCTCTGGGCTCAAATGACAGGTCTATTAGCTATCTGTTAGCTATATAAGCCTCAGTTTCCTTACCAAATAATGGAGAAAATACCTATTTTCACTGGGTAGTCAGGAGGATTCAATGAGCTAACACCATACAGCTTACCTCAATATCTCCATCACAATAAGCACTTAATAAAAGTTAGCTATCATTAACCTCATTGTTATTTCAAACAAGGGCTTCTCAACCCAAGCAGTACGTTAGAATCTCTTTGAGACTTATTTATTTATTTTAAGGGGTGGGGGTCTTGCTCTGTCACCTAGGCTGGAGTGCAGTGGCAGGAGCTTTTTAAAAAATACCCAAGCCAGACACATCCCTGTAATCCCAGCTAGTCGGGAGGCAGAAACAGGAGAATGGCCTGAGGCCAGGAGTTTGAGACTAGCCTGGGCAACACAGCAAGACCCCATCTCAACTAAAAAATATATACTAGGCCGGGCGCGGTGGCTCATGCCTGTAATCCTAGCTCTCTGGGAGGCCGAGGCGGGCGGATTGTTTGAGCTCAGGAGTTTGAAACCCGCCTGAGCAAGAGCGAGACCCCGTCTCTACTAAAAATTAGAAAGAAATTAATTGGACAACTAAAAATATATAGAAAAAATTAGCCGGGCATGGTGGCGCATGCCTGTAGTCCCAGCTACTCGGGAGGCTGAGGCAGAAGGATCGCTTGAGCCCAGGAGTTTGAGGTTGCTGTGAGCTAGGATGACACCACGACACTCTAGCCTGGGCAACACAGTAAGACTCTGTCTCAAAAAAAAAAAAAAAAATATATGTATATATATACTAATGCCAAGGTCCCACCTCCAGCAATTTTAATTGGTCTAGGGTGGGGTCCCAGCATAACATACAGTCAGGGTGAAGACCATTGTTGGCACCATTTATTGATCACTTTCTCAAGTATAAGGCACTGTGCTAAGTGCCTTCCAGGTGGAAACAATTAATTTGTTCATTCAACATTTTAAAAAAAATTGTTACTATCAATCTTACTTGAGTATGATCGACAAATATTTTTGATGACTATATTGCAGGCAGCAAGAACACAGCAGTGAAAAGACAAAGTCTCAGCCTCCATATATTAATAATTCAGGATCTAATGGCAAAAGACAAACAAATGATAAATAGGATTTCAAGTCATAGATTCTATAGAGTGAGTGAAATAAAGCAATGAATATATGATGGATGGGAGAATGTGCAATATTTTAGTGTAGGTAGACTGGAAAAGCCACTGAGGAGGTGGCCTTTGAGCTGATATCTAAATGATGAGAAGGCAACAGGGCGGGTAAAGGTCCAGGGGGACCAGCATTGCAGCCAGAGGGAACAGCCAGGATAAAGCCCCAAAGGCAAGACCAAGTAGATTTGACTTCAGGGCTCCAATGCCCCAAAGGCCTGCCTGACTTTGACTTCAGGGGAAGTTCCAGGGGGACGCAGGCAGGGCAGGGTCCCATTGCCTCAAGATGACATCTCCAAATCAGCCCTCTCCCCATTCCCTGGCATAGGGAGTCAATAGCAACAATAGTTTGTAACACTGGTTATGGCTGGGTAACCATTGACTTTACACACACTACCTAGACTTCAAGGTAGAAGCTACTACTAGGGCCCTCATTTTACAGATGAGGACTAAAGCTCGGAGAGGTCAACTCGCCTCTGGCCACTCAGCTGGGAAGGAGGTAGGAGAGCTGGGGGACACAAATCAGGTTTCTGCAAGTGCAGAAATGAGTCCCCACTTTCTAAACTTCTCAAGGTCTCAATAATCTCCAAGTGTTTCCACCTTAAGCTCACCAGCAGAGAGAGGCTCTTTCTCTGCCCACAATCACTGCACCTGTCACACTGATTCTCACCTTGACAGCACACACCAAATCTAGTTCCTTGTTGCTAGTGTTTCACACAGCACAGTCCAACAGAATTTTTTAAATTTATTTTTTATATTACATTGTGATTGAAGAGTTTTCTTAAAACATAAGCTTCCCAAATGCTACATTGAATTATTTATATTGTCATGGATCAAGGGTAACACTTGTTTACACCTTACGTTATCACTTAACAGATCATAAAGAGTGTCTGAAAAATGTTAAGTGCAAAACTCAACTATTTATTTATTTATTTATTTTGAGACAGAGTCTCACTCCATTGCCCAGGCTACAGTGCCGTGGCGTCAGCCTAGCTCATAGCAACCTCAAACTCCAGAGCTCAAGCAATCCTCCTGCCTCAGTCTCCAGAGTAGCTGGGACTACAGGCATGCACCTCCGTGCCTGGCTAATTTTTTCTATATATTTTTAGTTGTCCTGCTAATTTCTTTCTATTTTTAGCAGAGACGGGGGTCTCGCTTTTCTCAGGCTGGTCTCAAACTCCTGACGTCAAGCGATCCTCCTGCCTCAGCCTCCCAGAGTGCTAGGATTACAGGCGTGAGCCACCACACCCGGTCCAACAGAATTTTTTGCTCTGTTGGAGTGCAAATATGGGAGTCCCTAGTCACTTCAGCTGAGCATTTGAAATGTGACTAATTGCAACAAAAAAATTGAATTTTTCATTTTAATTTATCTAAATTTAAATAGCCATATGTGGCTAAGGGCTACCATGTTGGACAGCACAGGTTCAGCATACCTGATAAAGGCATGATTCTAGTCCCACTTTACAGACAAAGAGAAACCCAGAGGGGGCAGGTCACCTGCCCGAGGTAACACAGCTAGTGTGGGTTGGAGGGAGAACCAATGGTGGCTATTCCTATAGTTCCAACTGAGGAGATCACATGGGGCAGCAGGAACACTGAAGTCAGATAACTCTCTGGGTGGCCACTCAACAGGAATGTCTTCAGGCAAGTTGTAAAAAGAGGGTAATGGCCTTAGAGTTCAGTGCCTGGCTCCTAACAAGGGCTCGCTACACGTTAACTTTTATATTAGTGCAGGCAGTTGCACACAGGTTCCATTTAATTTTCATCCATTTGGGAGTGAGGGGGGCCTCTATTTTGCACACAAGGAAAGATTAAGGGTCCAAAGGTTAAGCACTAGCTGACAAGTGGCCAATCTGAGATTTGAACCCAGGGTTGTTTGGCTTCTATGGTCCTTTCCACTCCACCATAACAGCTTCTGGAAATGGCCCCAGGACTGGAGATTTGAACCCAGCTCAGTCTGGCTTCCAAGGGTTCTATCCACTACTCACACTGGCCTCTTAGAGAAGCCCCAGCCTTCCAGCCTTCCTTCCTCCCTCCCTCCTTCCCCCTCCTCCTCTTCCTTCCTCCTTCCCTCTCTCCCTCCTCCCTTTCTCTCTTGATGGGGTCTCACTTTGTAGCCCAGGCCGGGGTGCAGTGGTGAGATCATAGCTCCTTGCAGCCTCAAACTCTGGGCTCAAGCGATCTTCCTGCCTCAGCCCAGCCTTTATTCTTGATATCCTCTCTAGAGCCTGCGAGCCCCTGGACTCAGCTACAGACACCTGCTAAGTCACTCTGCCAGCTAGGAGAGAGCAGGCACTATCACCCCCTAACCCCGGCAGCTGAACTCAGAAATTTGCCTGGGTTTACACCTGAGAGGAAGATACAGAGATATGGCCCAAGCAGCATCTGACCTCCAGCCCTGCAGGGGGCTGGGAGGGCAGAGTGTGAGTGGTGCCACACACTTGTCCACCCATCATGAACTGGGCACCAGGCTAAGTGCTTTACAAATCTGTTCTTTCTGATTCCTCACAACCAGCCAGAGGGAAATAGGTCTTGTTATCCCTTGTTTACAGACAGGTCACTGAGGTTTGGAAAGGTCCTCTCCCAAATGGGCACAACTCAGATCTGACTCCAGAGCTTGGACAGTTCACAAGGATCACCTAAGCCAACAAGGGGCAAATAGTTACATTTACTAGGTGCAAAGAACAGTGCTGGGGATGAGACCCACAAGCGTCTCGAGTCCAGCAAGGGAGACAGAAAAGAAACACCTAATTTACACAACTGTTTCACATAACTGGGACAAAAGCTCCTATAACGGAGAAGGGGCACTGGAAGAGAGTATACAGGGAGACTTCCCTGGTGAGGGAAGAAACACTTCCCTGAGGACATGTCTGAGGAAGTTATTCTAGAACCCAATATGGCTTTGAAAACATACTACCAGCACTAACTAGTGTGAAGTCCTCAGAACTTTCGGGAGATACACACATTTGCGGGCCTTGATCCCCTGAAAGGGGCTGTGTGGTGAAATAAGGGGGAGTTGAGGGGTCTTGGGCACCAGGCTCTGTAAGATCAGAACCCTGCTGTCTTCTAAGTATTCACTGAAAGCAGACATCTTCCCAAGGTCCTCTCTTCTCAAGAAACGATACGTAGAAATATGCCAGACGTCGTCAGCCTTCCCCACTGATGAAACATGGCTTCTGTCTCAAGGCCACTCCCGTGAAGCCTGCCTGGACCACCTGAGCACCATTTTCTCCCTAGACCACTTCCCAGGTGCTGTCCTGGAGAAGGATGTACCGACTCTCATCTCAGAAAGGCAGGAATAGGCTCAGGCACCGTCTAGTGAGACACTCCGGGGAAAGGGAAATGTGTGCCCTGGCCGCATTCTGATAATAGCGTGCATGTTTTATGCAGTTACCATGTTCCAGGCACTGTGCTTCCGCCTTTGCTTGAATTCCAAGTTAATTCTCCCAATATCCCTCAGAGATACTATAAAATCCGCATGGGAAGAAACTGGGGATCAGAGAAGTGATCCCTAGGCTATGGCCACACAGCAAGTTAGCAGGAGGGCTGGGTCAGGAACCTAGCACTGACTCTAGCGCCCAGGTGCTCTCAATAATAACATCATTTCCATTTTTCAAGAGAAACACTCTTCGAAGGGTCTTGGTCAGTCATATAGCAGAGAAGTGACAGGAGTTAGGGTCATTCCTCCACACAGGGCTCCTAAATCATGGTGGGGAAGTGTGAACAAGCTAAGAGAAAATCCACACACAAAGCATGCACTGCTGGAAGTAGGACCCCCAGAAACCATGTTGCTCAGAGAAGAGCAGAAATTTTCCAGAGGTCGCCCAGCTTAGTACGAGCACTCCACCAACTCTCAGTCCCAGCCATACACCTCCACCATGCTCCAGGCCTGCAAACTAAAGAAACAAGCAAAACTCTCTGTAGGGCCAAACACTCACCGCAATCCTAGAGACGCCCAGGCCAAAGAATGAGCTACTCAGTGGGGCTAGTGAAGAAAGCCTCTCTCTAAGCACCTTCTGGGCTTCAATTTGTTCATCCTGTAAAATGGGGCTATAGTGTAGCTTGTAATATTTTGCTGGTTTAGTCCTGAGGACTCAAGGAAAAGGCAAAACTCAAGGCTGGCATGTACTAGGTACTTAATAAATGATAAACTATCCATTATAGCTGCTGGGGGTGGGGGAGGGCGAATTATTAGATTAGGTGCACCTTATTCCCGGCCTTCGTGCAAAGCCTTTCTGGGCTACGCCGCGGGAGGGGAGTTCCGGTGAAACAAACTTCTGGGACCTCAGACCACTTACTTAGTAGCGCTCAGCCTAATTCGTGGTTGGCTTCGGGAGCCGCAGCCAGGGCTGTCCCCTCTCCCCCCAGCGTTGGCAGCCGCCGCAGCGTCCCGGGCGGCCTGCCAAGCCCCCGGAGCACCCGCGCCCCCCCTTCAAATCAGGGGTGCTGGTGGGTTGGGGGCAAGGTCGACCTTCGCTGGCAAGTCTCAGGTGCCCCACTCCCCGCGCTGGGGGTAGGAGCCGGGACGTATCCTAGAAAGAGTCCTCTGCCCGCCAGCCCCCGCTAGGAGGAAGGGAATCTGCGGAAGGGGGCGGGGAGGAGGAGTGGTCGGGCCGCTCCGGCCGGGATTTGCCTGGACTTGAAGACGCTCTTGACAAGAGTCTAAACCCGGGAGAGCTTCGAGGAGGCTATCCCCTCATTGGCCAGGAGTCCGAGGGAGCCCAGGAGAGCTCCACTGCCCCGGGGGAAGGGGGAGGGGAGGAGAGGGCCGCGGCTGTCAGTTGATGCAACCCCAGTCCTGGGTTACGCACTCCAATCCCACTCCCCGAGCCCGGGGCGGGAGGCGCGCAGACTAGGCTCGGGCAGCTTGAGGCGCAGAAGCAGCTCGGGGTTCAAGGGAAGAGTGGCGTCGCTGGGCCGCTGCTTACCTCTCCCGGCCGGGGGCCGCCGACGCCGCCCGGGGCGAACGGCAGGTAGCCCTTGAGCTCCGCGCGGCACTCAGAGTCCGCGACGATCATCGTGTGCGCCAGGACCCAGCCGCGGCTCGCCGACCACCCGTGCACCGGAGGGGGTTTTGGACGGCCGCACGCAGGAAGCCGGGACTGGGAGCCTCTGGGGAGGTTCTAGAACCCCGGGGTGTCTCTCGGGGTTCCAGAACCCTCCGAAATCGGAGAACGGCCGCTGCTGTGCTGGACTCTTCCCCCAGTCTGGCTTCTGGAACGGTGAATGGCCTCGAGTGCCCGGGATTGGCCGCGGCGCAGGGGTTTTCACGGCCTCGGAAGTCCGCAGTGGCCGGGGCTGCTCGCGGACCCAGCGCTCCTCAGCATCCCCGCCGCGGAACTGCCAGCGCTCGCAGGGCTCTGACACTAGCAGCGCCGCTCAGCCCGCTGCGGTCCCCGGGGAAGGGCGGGGACACAAAGCCCCGCGGTGCAGCCAATCAGATGTCTGTTTCCCAGGGAGGCGGGGACGACACCTCCCTCTGGAGCCAACCGCTCCACCAATCGGCTCCGGGAAGTGCCCGGGAACTCTGGGAGCTGTAGTCGGCCCTGGACTAATGCTGCAAACTTTTGCAAGAGGGTTTAGTCAGATCGCTGGCAATACCAGACGACAGTGACAGCCCAGAGAGTCATTAGGGCTGCGTGATAAAAAGGGACTTTACCGGGGTGGGTCAGAGAGCAGGGTGTGAAATCTCTCTCAAGTGAATTCTTCATCTTTTCGGTTCCTAGAGGGACTGGTTAAGGTTTAGGAGAGGTTTGGTCCCTGTGTATCCAGAGGCGCTGAACACCAGATCTTTGGAGATTAGAGGACACAACCTTGTTACCCCTGGCTTTGGGGAGGACTCCACTTCCAAATGTGCCAGACACGGAGAATTCGCCTTATTTGTGGAGTCTCTGGAAAAGCCTTCATTCCTTGAAATGCCACTGGTAACCTTATGTCTAACCTCAACCCCTATTGCTTCAGTTTTTCCACTTCTCCCTTGGAGCCTCCAGTCCTGGCTTCCACCCTTACCACCCTCCTCAAAACTGTAACAAGGTGTTCTGCTGGGTCTATTCTCAACTCTCCAGCCACTCCTTGTCTGACTCCTCTTTCTCCACCCACTCCCTAAAACGTGGGTGCTCCCCTAGTTTCTGTTTTTATCCCTCTCCTCTCCAGACGTGCTCTCCCTGATCTCATCCAGTTCCTAGCCTTCAACTCCCCTCTTGCTAGGAAGTCACCTCTACCTGCACCCTAAAGCTGAATTTATCTATGCTTCCTTACAGTTTTCTTTCACAGCTCCTTGTTTTGTTTCAATTTTAAAGTCATTGTTTATTCAAGACAAGGAATCCTGGCAGGGGCAAGGGTGGACTAGACCCCCAAGGTCCCCTCTGAGACTCTCTGAATCTAGGCTTATAATTCCAAAGATGAGACTCTAATTTGGTCACCTGCCTTCAGCTTCTTGGGAGAAGAAAATTAATCTCACCCTCCCCCGAGCTCTTAAGGCACTTGGGCTGAGTCTCTGTTTTAACACATAAGACATTCTACCTTTTTTTATGATTTTCTGTGTACACGTCTTATCTGACCTTTATGATTATAAACTCCTTGAGGGTAGGGTCCACATCTTGACATCTTTGTCTCCTGCCCTATGCCACCTAGCACAATGTGCTGCCAATAATATGCCCTTGGTCACAGAATCTTCATTCTCATTAAATTCTCTTCTAAACCACGCTATGTCTGATTCAACTATTATTTAGAAAATTTACTCTGTAACATCAATATCCAGCTCAAAAAACTTCACTGGTATTTCATCAGCTACAGAATAAAGATCAAGCCCCTACATTGACATCCGAGGTTTGCCAAGATGTGCCTCAACTTAACCTTTCCATTCTTATCACCTGCCACACCCATGTTCCTTGTTTGGCCTTTACACCTTTCTTCCAGTACTCCTCCTTGTAAATCTCTGCCAGCTGAAATTGTATCCAGCATTCAACGCCTTCATTACTGTTTGTGGCCTGAAGGAAGACTTCAATTGCCATTCCTTCCAAAAGCCTTCTTTAGCTCAGCTGAAAGCAATCTCGCCCAGTCCTCAACATCTTCAACACGTTCTTTCGGCCTCTTTATACTCCTGGTCTCCATACTTGATGCAGCTTCGATATCATGTCTAGATGTCTTACCCCTTCCCTCCAACTAACAATGGAATATGTTATTGACTACTTGTACAAAGTGAGGAAACTTAAGGCAGAAACTGTGCTGGTCTTTTTATCCCCCACTAGCATATACAGGCATACCTCAGAGATATTGCGAGTTCACAATATCACAATAAAGGAAGTCACACAAATTATTTGGTTTCCCAGTGCATACAAGTTATGTTTGCACTATATTGTAGTCTATTAAGTGTGCAATTGTATTGTGCCAAAAAACACAATGTATATACCTTAATTAAAAAATACTTTATTGCTAAAAATTTTAATGATCATCTGAGCCTTCAGGGAGAGGTAATGTTTTTGTTGGTGGAGGTTCTTGCCTTAATGTTGATGGCTGTCAACTGATCAGGGAGGTGTTGCTAAAGGTTGGGGTAGCTATGGCAATTTCTTAAAAATAAGACAATAATGAAGTTGGCTGCAACATTGACTCTTCCTTTCAGGAAAGATTTCTCTATAGCATGCAGTGCATTTGATAGCATTTTACCCACAGGAGAACTTGCAAAATCAGAATCAATCCTCTCAAATTTTGTTACTGCTTTATCAACAAAGTTTATATAATATTCTAAGTCCTTTGTTGTCATTTCAACAATGTTTACCAGGAGTAGATTCTATCTCAAGAAACAATTTTCTTTGCTCATCCATAAGAAGCAAATCCTCAACCATTCAGGTTTTATCATGAGAGCGCAGTAATTCAAACACATGAATTTAATTCATGAAATCAAACAATTCAATCAAGTCACATCTTTAGGCTCCCTTTCTAATTCTATAATAGTTCTTTTGCTGTTTCCACCACATCTGCAGTAACTTCCTCCACCGAAGTCTTGAACCACCTCAAAATCATCCATGAGCATTAGAATCAACTTCTTCTGAACTCCTGTTAATGTTAATTTTGACCTGGCATGAGTCACAAATGTTCTTAATGGCACCTAGAACGGTGAATCCTTTCCAGGTTTTCAATTTACTTTGCCCACATCTGTCAGAAGAATCACTATCCATGGCAGCTATATAGCCTTACAAAATGTATTTCTTAAACAATGAGATGTGAAAGTTGAAATTACTCCTTGATCCATGGGCTACAAATGGATATTGTGTTAGCAGATATGAAAACAATGTTAATCTCCTTGTATATCCCTATCAGAGTTCTTAGGTGGTCAAGTGCATTATCAATGAGCAGTAATATTTTGAAAGGAATCTTTTTTATGAGCAGTAGGTTTTAAGAGTGTGCTTAAAATACTCAGTTAACCACGCTATAAACAGATGTGCTGTCATCAAGCCTTCATTGTTCTGTTTATAGAGCACAGGCAGAGTAGATTTGCCATAATTCTTAAGGGTCCTGAGGTTCTCAGAATGGTAAATGAGCATTGGTTTTAACTTAAAATCACCAGCTGCATTAGCTCAAAACAAGAGAGTCAGTCTGTTCTTTGAAGCTTTGAAGCCAGACATTGATTTCTCCTCTCTAGCTATGAAATTCCTAGATGGCATCTTCTTTCAATATAAAGCTGTTTCATCTACATTGAAAATCCGTTGTTTAGTGTGCCCACCTTTATCAAAGATCTTAGCTAGATCATCTGGATAACTTGCTGGAGCTTCTCAATCAACATTTGCTGCTTCACCTTGCACTTTTATAATGTTATGGAGACAGCTTCTTTCCTTCAACCTCATGAACCAACTAAAGTTTGCTAGCTTCCAACTTTTCTTCTGCAGCTTCTTCACCTCTTTCAGCCTTTCTAGAATTGAAGAGAGTTACCACTTTGCTCTGGATTAGGTTTTGGCTTAAGGGAATGTTGTGGCTGGTTTGATCTTCTATCCAGACCACTAAAACTTTCTCCATATCAGCAAACAGGGCTGTTTTGCTTTCTTATCATTTGTGTGTTCACTGGAATAGCACTTTTCATTTTCTTCAAGAATGTTTCCTTTGCATTCACAACTTAGCTAACTATTTGGCACAAGAGGCCTAGCTTTTGGCCTATCTTGACCCTCAACATGCCTTTTGGGCTAAGCTTAATCATTTCTAGCTCTTGATTTAAAGTTAGAGACATGTGACACATCCTTTTACCTGAACACTTAGAAGCCATTGTAGGGCTATTATTGGCCTAATTTCAATATCGTGTCTCAAGAAACAGGGAGGCCTGGGGCGGGATGGGAGAGACAGAAATGGCAGGTTGGTGAAGCAGTCAGAACACAAAACATTTATTTGCCAAATTGTTAAATTCACTGTTTTATGTGCATATAATTTGTGGCCCCTCAAAACAATTACAATAGTAACATCAAAGATCACTGATCACAGATCACCATAACAGATGTAATAATAAGGAACAAGTTTGAGATATTTCGAGAATTACCATAATGTGACACAGAGACATGAAACAAGCTCATGCTTTTGGAAAAATGGCTCTGAGCTGATGACTTGCTTGATGCAGAGTTGCCACAAACCTTCGATTTGTAAAAAATGCAATATCTGTGTAGTGCAATAAGGTGCAGTGCAATAAAATGAGGTATACCTGTAAATATTTTTGAATGAATGAACATGAGTTACTCTGTAGAATAACCTTTTAGAATCTTCAAGTGACTAAATCATTCCCAAAGCTTCACTTGTAAAGTTAGCAAGGGGGAGGAGCTTGAGGAGGAAAGGCAAAAAATACTGATATTATCAATTAGATGATCTTTCGTGACCCAGTCTCCAAGAAAGAAATGGTAGGAAGGGGCACAGACACTAACATTTACTGAGCTCCAGCAAGAATCCAGGATACATTTAATGTCTCATGTAACTCTCACGACAACCTGGTGAAATAGGCTATTATGTCTCCATTCGAGGAATGAGGAAACTGAGGCTCAAGAGGTGTGTTGGCCAAGGTCAGATAGCTTAGCAATATGCTGAGTAAGGATTCAAACTCAGTCAGGAATGACTCCAATGCAGAAACTCTACCACACCAGTAATGAGAAGAGGACATGAATATGTAAGAAGCAGGCTGGCACAAGGAACTGATGCTTAAAGCAGATATACTAATTGGGAGTGAGAAACCTAACTGTTAAGTGGCCTATAATTGATGGCCAACGCATCCCTCTTTGTAGGACTGCCTCCATGGGAAGCCAAATTATCATCTGACGGTGGCTAGGGCAACCGGAATCTGAGCAAAAGGAACAAGTGAAAAGTTGAATCATTGAACTGGCTCTACTCATGGTAAATCTGCTGGTCAGGGCTCCAGCTCCTTCCCTGCCTCTTTCACTCAGTAATTAT